CCCCCCCCCCCCCCCCCACTACGTAGTCCTTTTGCCTGTTCTTGAAATTCCAGGAAAAAGAATCACACGGCAAGTATCTTTTGGGTCTGGCTTCTTTTGTCTTGTTTTGCCTTTGTGAAATTTATTCAGTTTGCTTGTTGTTCTAGTTCATCCATTCTTGCTACTCCATAGTGTTCCTTTGCATGGACAGACCCCGACCGTCCATCCACTCTCCTGTCGTAGGACATCGGAGTGGAGGCAGATTTTAGTTAGGGGCTGTTACAAATAACGCTGCTAGAACATTCCGTACATGATGAATGAACGTCCCCAAAGCTACGAGCAACTGGGTCACAGGGCACATGCGTGCTTAGCTGCTGTTCTGATCTTGTAAACTCTTCCCAGGTGATGGATAGGCGGCCAGGGCTGAGATTCCCTGGCACAGACCCCGTCAATGATGGCTCTGGCTTCCGTGCTCACAGCCCTGACCAAAGCTCGCTGTAACTCCTTGCTTGCTCCCTCGCTACTCCTCCATCTCCTGCTACACTGTCCGCTCCGGAGGGAAAGGGCTCCATCTAGCCAGTTACCTTTGTGACTTCAGCCCCTGGCACGTACTGGGCTGTTACCAGATGAGGACTGAGAGAATGAGAAGGATGAGAGCTGGCTGTTGCTGTCCCCAGGCCCCTGTCTGTACAACTGTATGCACAGTTCCTAATTCTGGTTCTTTCCCCCTCTGCCCTTCCCCTGGGGTGGGTGTTGGGAGAGGGGTTTCCAGAGTTCTTCTGCTTCCTGCTCCTGAGTCAGGAAAACCTGCTCCAGGGCACCTGGGCAGGGCTTTGAGGACACGGAAAATTCTGGGAGTTGCTGTTTCCTGCTGCTGCTCCTGCCCCTGCCTAGTCTCAGGTCAGGCATCCACCGAGTGGGCCCCGGGAGGCCAAGATGAGTCACGGCCTCGGGAGGAAAGGGAGCCTGAGAATGTGGGACACTCCTAATGGTTTCCCTGCTTCCTAGGGCGGCCTGAGTTAGAAATGCATGCGGACTGGCTCCAGAGCTACAACGTGGGAGGCCAAGGGCGAGTGACCGTCGCTGCCCAGAGGGATGCTGGGATGGTCATACAAGCCAAGTGCTAGCCTTTAACCTTCTGCTGCTTTTTTTTGTTTCTTTTGCTCTAATACAACATGCCGTAGGGCACAGAACAAGCGCGCACGAATGACCTGCATGACGTCTTCATGTTGAGGCCCCAGGGGTTCTATCACCTTCTCAACGGGGAAATGACTAGAAGTGGACAGGTCCCTGCTGAGTATCAGGATCTAGGGCTAAGGACACTGAAAAGAGTAATCCTCCCTTCTCAAGTTTTGTCGTGAGAAAATATGCCCTTAATAAAATTTTGTGGCACCTTCCCCAAGACCTCAAAGTACAGTGTTTGTTTTAAGAAGCTTCATTTGTATGATTTTCTGTGTGTCAGAATGTTCCACTGCCTTCTCTCTAAGGACTGAAATATACTCCTGCTATGCCCCCAGCTCTAGCTACACACATTTTGCTCCCCTGGGAGTTGTGCAGTGTACCACCTGAACAACCGGACAGGGAGCTTCAGCAGATGCTCCCTGATCCTGCACATCATATCCTCTCTAATGACCCCAGAGGTCACTGTATAAATTTCTATGCAAACTAGTGGTAACTGCATCACCCTGCATCCCAGGAGTGAACCTCGGGAAAGAATGGAAGCTGGTAAGTAACTATACCCCAGTGCCATCATCCCTCAGGGGAATGACTCAGACATGTTCCACAGTCTCCTGGGAGGTCCCAGTGGGGAACGTGCAGGTGCCTGCAGTAGTCATCAGACTCTACTGGCTGTCCTCCCTTCTCGGGTCCCCTCCCAGAGCTTCCTTGGGTTACGTCCTTAATAAGCTGCTTGTACCCAGACCCTGGAGGACCCAAGGCAGCAGCCCTGCCATGCCCCTTTCTGGCCAAGCTCTAGTACATGGCTCCATTTTGTTTTCTCAGCCTTTGCCCATTTGCCTTGATCTTGCATATTGGACACCAGCTCCCCCAGGAGCACCCGAAACCGTGCCTGACACGCACAGGCGCTCAAGAAATCCACATGCACCATGGGCAAAAGGAAATTCTGCCAAAGGAGACAAGGGGAAAGGGAGAAAACCTCCTGCTAGTCCTCGTGCACACACACGCACATGCATGCACACGTTCACACCCCCCACGCATGCACGCGTCTCTCTCTCTCACACAAGCCCCATGTGTCGCACATGCCAGGTGGGGAGAAACCTTCAGAATCAAACACTTGCTGCTAAAGCCGAGGGGACATGACAGCCTCACGGCTGCCCATGCAAATCCCCAGTGTTTGCTTTTCCGATGACATCCCCAGGTTTAGGGCTGGCAATTGGGGAGCTCATGGGATTGGCCAACATACTTGAGGCTGTCCCAGCAGATGCCACTCCACCTCCCTGGCCTGGTCAAGGCACGAGCCGCCCTCCGCGGGGACCCAGCCCTTCACTGTCCCCCACTGTCCCCATCCAGAGGTGGTGGCAGGCCCCCACACAGGCTCACCTGGGGGCAGCGGGGACTGACCTGTTGATGAACTCTTCGTAGCAGGAGTAGATGGCAGCCAGGCACACAGCCACCAGGTTGGGCAGGACCCGGGGGTGGGGGCAGTGCCCCGTGGGGCCGTGCATGCTGGAAGAGAGCAGAGGACAGGGGTGAGCAGGCCGTGGCAGCAGCGGCACTCACGCAGGGAGGCAGCAGGGCTGGGGGCGCCCGTCAGGGTCGGGGGTGGAGGGTGCGCCGAGTTCTTTGCCGGGCATTTGGCAACACTGGGATCTAGGTCCCGGCCCTGCCACGTGCAGGCGGCACAGAGCCAAGCTCCAGGCCGGGGGCTGTAGATCCAGGAAGCTTGTGTGAAGACCCACACAAGCGGTCTTGGCAAACCACTTAAACGTGCCATGCTCAATTTGCTTAGCTATCAAATGGGAACGTGGCTCCCTCCCTTGATGGGTTATGGTAAGGACCCAGTTTCTAATTCATGGAAAGAGAGTATGGCAGTCCTATATCCTGGGACAGTCGTATTTATGCCTGCGGGATCTGGAATCGTGATTCCTAATACCACATTTTAGTCTCACAAGTGGCCTGCTTTGAAAGAAAAGTGATTATGGTCGCCCTGGCCCAGCACAGGGCCTGGGACACATTCGCCAAGTCCTCCCTTCATGCTGGCTGCTGCTGTTAATTATGGCTAGCTTTGTGCCTCAGTTTTCTCCTCTGTAAAATGGGACCAATACCGTGACTCCCGGGCTGTTTGGAGCCTGGGAATGATATCTGTAAGTCCTGGAAAGTCACTGTGGCTGCTGAGGACGAGAGAAGCCTAACCTGAAAAAATTCGACAAACCGCAGCTGGGTACTTTAAAGGGACCCTGAAGTCACCAGGGCTCCTGCGGAGAAATGCTTGCTTTGGATGTAGAAATGCTTTGTGAGTTTTGGGTGAGTTTATTCGGGAAACACATAAGCTCCAAAACCAGCTTAAACAGGCTATTTTGATTTTCTTCAAAAACGAGAGGTCGCTGACATGTGCAGCCCACGGACACAGCAGCTAGTGTTGACGGGCATTAGCTCACTAAACCGGCACACTAACCAGATGAAGTGAGTACGATGGTTCTCATTTTCCAGATAAGGAGACAGCGGCACAGGGAGAGGCTTTAAAAATCAAAGAGAAAACAAGCCCTCTCTTCCAAAACACCAGAAGTAAGAACCAGAAGATCTGCTCTCTTCTTCCCCAGTTTGGGAGGTGGCTGTTCTAGTCCCTAGTGATGCCTCTCTGGGGCCAGCGGCGGATTGTCTCTGACGTGCTCAGCACTCATAAACCAAAGGGGTGTAAGGTGTGGGACCCATGGAAATAATCCTATTATTTAGAACTGGTACCATTTCCCGAGTTCCTACCGTGTGTCAGGTACTGTGCTAGGGGCTTCCTCATGTTATCTTCTTGTTTAATTACGCAACAACCCCTAGGGATAGGGGAGTAAACAGGACCAGAGAGGTACAGCAACCAGTTCAACGTCACACAGCTAGTGAGTGTCTCAGACCACGTGTGGTTGGGAGGACCCAGGTGACAGCTCCCCAGAAGATGAGATGCTCAGGGCCTTTGAATACAAGTGGACTCTGTCCGGGCATCAAGGGAGCAAGTATTTCTGGGCTGGAGAGGAGAGCTGGCTGGCAGGCAAGGTGGGGAGGGGGTCCAGCTGGGAAACCCACCTCTGAATGAACTTCTTCACCACTTCCATCCCCGCATTGAGCTCGTTCAAGGCGAGGATATACTCCTGAGTAAACAGCCTCAGTCGTGGGCACTTCCCAAAGTCCTGCAGAGAGAGCAGACGGGAGAAGCTGGGACAGGCCGCAGGGGAGGCCAGGATCCCAGAAGTGGCAGTGCGACCCTGCTCTGCTCACAACTGCTGGTGTTGCAGGCAACGGGGAGACAACCAGCCAACTCCACTTTCTAGAAGGCACACATTTTCCCTTCAAGACCCTGGCCTCGTCACGCTCTTGCTTACGCCCTTTGACGGCTGCCCGGGGAGAGCAGCAAATGCGTCCTGACCCGGAATGGGTTCCGGCACCTGTAGCGAACTCACTGGCAGGGCACCGATGCGCCAAGGCGTGCTCAGCAAAGAGACCAGCTGGGGCGTCCCTTCCGCTCAGTGGGGAGGGGGCCTGCGCATGTTGAGCTGGGCCTCCCACAACCCCTGGGAGGCCACAGATGCCACAGGCCCCACAGAGTTTCTGGATGCCTGCTTTCTGTGAGCTATCACCTGAGGCCACTCAGCACAGCCGGGGCAGGAGATGTCCGGTCTGGGGCCATCAATTTGGGAAGAGGGCTTTGGGACTTCTTGGGGGTATGGAGGAGCCAAACGTAGCCCCGGACAAGTGTAACTCTGAGTGTCCCCAACCATTGTCAATGAAAAGATGCCCGTTCCTTCTCCCGAGCAAGAGGGCAGGAAGGAGGTCCAAGAACCAGACATGGCCCCAGGGTGAAGCTGGCTCCCAGTCATGGGCTTTTCAGCTGGCTCCCTCATGCTCTAGGCTGACCCCAGCCACCCCCTTGGTTCCAGAAAATACTTAAGGAGCATTTGATGAGCTTGTCCTTTTGGTTGTAGAAAAAGCTACCCTCATATGGCACATGGAACCAAAAAAGCAGAGAAAACAGATGGATAAGCTTGAAAAAGGCTGGCTGGACAGGTAATGGCATGTGTGTGTGAGAGAAGTGGGGTGTGGGAGGAGGTGTGTGTGTGTGCGTGTGAGATGAGACGGAGAGAAAGAGAGACATGGGGTGTGGGAGAAGATGTGTATAAGACATGTGAGACTATGTGAGAGTGTGTGTGTGTGTCAGAGAGAGAGACATGGGGTGTGGGAGGAGATGTATAAAAAAAGATGTATAAGAGTGTGTGTGTGAGGGATGTGGGGTGTGGGAGAAGATATGTGTATATGTGTGAGAGTCATGGGGTGTGAGAGGAGGTATGTGTGTGAGGGAGACATGGGGTGTAGAAAGATGTGTGAGAGATGTAGGGTGTGCGAGGAGGTGTGTGTATGTGTATAAGAGACACGGAGTCTGACAGGAGATGGGTGTATTTACGAGAATTGTGGGGTGTGGGAGGTGGTGTGTATGAGAGACGTTGGCTATGTGAGGAGATGTGCATGTGTGAGAGAAGTGGGGTGTGGGAGGTAGTGTGTGTGTGAGATGTGAGGTGTGGAAGGAGGTGTGTGAGAGGTATGGGATATGGGAAGTTATGTGTGAAAGACATAGAGTATGGGAGGAGGTGTCTTGTGTGTTTGTGTGTGGGGGGGGACATGGGGTGTGGGAGGAGATATGTGTATGTGAGAGAGAGATGTGGGGTGTGGGAGGTTGTGTGTATGTGAGATGGGGTGTGGGAGGAGGTGTTTGTGAGAGGTATGGGGTGTGGGAGGTTGTGTGTGAGAGACAGAGTGTGGGAGGAGGTGTGTGTGTAAGAGATCTGGCATGTGAGAGGAGGTGTGTGTGAGAGGTATGGGGTGTGGGAGGTTATGTGTAGAGACGTGGAGTGTGGGAGGAGGTGTGTGTGTGCTTGTGTGTGTGAGAGAGAGAGAGAGACATGGGGCGTGGGAGGGAATGTGTGTATGTGAGAGAGAGATGTGGGGTGTGGGAGGGTGTGTGTGTGTGAGATGGGGTGTGGGAGGAGGTGTTTGTGAGAGGTATGGGGTGTGGGAGGTTGTGTGTGAGAGACAGAATGTGGGAGGAGGTGTGTGTGTAAGAGATCTGGCATGTGGGAGGAGGTGTGTGTGTGAGAGATGTGGGGTGTAGGAGGGTGTGGGAGGGTATGTGTGAGAGACATGGGGTGCGGGAGGAGGTGTGTGTGAGAGACACATCATGTATGCGTGTGTGAGGCTTATGGCCTGGGAAGGGTGGTGTGTGCCCTGGAAAGTGCGTGGCTGGTGTGTGTCCGGGGGTCCGTGTGAAAGGGGCACAGGCAGGAGGGAGGGAGGGTGAATCTGCTCAACATTAGGGAAAGGCCCCAGCCCCCAGGGCCAAGGACGTCTCCAACCACCAGCTCAGCCTGAGCCCCTGCATCTCACCTCAGCTGACGCCTACTTAAGGGGCACTGAGCAAGGACAGAGGGACTCCCGCCTGCTCCAGTGAGTGGCATTCCTGGACGCTTCTGTTTTCTTAGCTTCCCCAACCCGGCACACGACCAGGGCAGGAGGCAGCGTACAGCTGAGAGTGGAGAGGCACATCTCCTTGGTGGCTGTGGGCTCAGGGACTTGTCAGGAGAGGAGAAACGATGGCCGGGAAAGGACCCTGCGTCCTTCCCCACATTCACGGGTGGGGGCAAGGGCTGCCAGGTCGGCAGTTCTGTTCATGTTCTGTGGGCAGGGTTTTTAACAGTCAGGAGGGGCGCGTCAGCGTGGTGAGGAGGGTGGCCCGCGAGACGTCAGAGTGAAGAGTCACATCTCCAAAGTCATCTGCCTTCTTCTTGCCCCCACTAAGTGGAACCCATTCAGTAAAAAGCAACTGCAATGGCATTCTAACTTAAAATAAAACAGCAGAGACTGTCTTCCCGGATCTAACTGATTCTGAGGGCCCTCGAGAAAGTTCTGAGGAGAACACGTCCCTCCCACGCCCTCCTGCCAGCTCCGAGAAGCGAGTTTCTAGAGCTGCTTGGTGCTTCTTCACCTGGCATGAAGAGGCTGAATTAGAGTCCTCAAGGTACTGAAGGGGCCTCGTCTGCTTCCAATCTCCCCACCGGGACGATGCTCGTCCATGAGGACGGCAGCAGAAGCCACAGGGGAAGCTCAAAAGGAAGATACGCACCTGTGTACACACACACACACTCACACATGCTCACATGCACACAGAGCCCTGGGCTAGATAAGGCCTCTGTGTGAAGAGAAAACTTAAACTTGACTGTGCTTCCAAACTGAGGAAAACATCTCAGGTCACCTGGTGCCCTGGAAAACGGTGATAGGAAGGCTGTGTGGCCCTCTTGGGGCCTCATAGACTCTGTTGTGGAGTGAGGGCTGTAACCACGGATCTCTATGGCCCCCTTCCACGTCTAAGGGTTTAGGAGTCCATGAAAACTGCTTCAACTCAACTCTGCTAAAGATAACTGTCCTTATCTCTGCTGTTAGATTTCTGGAGAGTCAAGGTCACTTTCTTGGAAATGAACATCATAAATGGGTCTCATGGCCTTGCAACATGTGGGTGAGGTACATTTTACCTTTGGAAAAGCTAAAAACGCTCCTCTTGGCAAGTAGGGTGGTCAGATCACCCAGTGGTCCGCTAGGGACCGCAGCCATATCTTCTTGCCTCCCTTGCTACAAGAACACTCTGATGAGTGGCCTGCGGGCACAGGGACCGTGGTCATTCTTGACAATACAGTTTAACAAACTGTTTAGAATCTCCAGCAGAACATTCTAGAGGACTGCTTCCATTTGTAACTAATTTTTATTTCAGTCCAACGAGTAACACTGAGACTCTTCTCTAAGATTCAGTGTACTCATCTAGGAAATGGGACACACAATCTATTTGCAAAAGATGAACCCTGAGGACTGGGGAAGCTCTGACGTTTTAGAACACCCCTCCGGTCTACGATTTTCTCCAACTCCCAAATGCTCCAGTGCGTCCTTGGTGAGAAACGCTGTACGTGTGGTCAACAGAGGCCACTGCTCGTGCGATGAGGACAGTCGTGAGGCTGGTGGCAGGCTAGGCACACCCACTAACCAGTGACTAGACTCCCCACACCGGCCAAAAGCTCCAGCTCAAAACAGTACGTCTGGCTTCCCAGGCCTAGCGGAAGCCACGGTCACTACCTCACACGCACCTGCCATCCACGGCCCTCTTCTGACAGAGTTCGCGGCAGGTCATTGGGCGCCGATGGCAGAGAGCAGCCGTGAAGCTTTACGGCGGCCCCAGCGCCGGGATCACTTGGGGGCTCTTCAAGCGTCAAGTGAGGATTGATGCCTGGAGGGCCCTGATCTCTGCCAGGCCACAACAGATGCTATAAACTGTGGATTTGCCCTGTCGCTGTTCTGAATTTTATCCAGAAAATTATTACATGGTCAACACTGTAGGCCTATAAAACTCACCAAATATAAGGGAGATGTTGTTTGGGACTGGCTGTGGGAGGCGGGCCTGAATTTTAACTTTTTTCCCTTCGGAAGTCAGATGTCCCCCAAAGAAGCGTTCTTAGACAGCCTCCTGATGACCACAGACTACGTGAAAATGTTCTTCTGTGCCCGAGGAGGCCTGGGCGAGGACAGGACACCTGGGGCTGGGGCTCTGTCATCGATAAGCTGTGACAGGAAGGTCCTTTGCAAAACGAACTCTAAAATCTCTGCTCCACCCTCTGAAAGGGTACAAGCTTCACCTCCTACCACCTCCACTGTGATTTTAAAGTTAACAATTGGAAGTCTTCTCCTCTCAGAAGCCTGAAACCGGAGAATGCCCCTGAAACTATAAAAGCCCAAATTAGGGCACAAATTCACACTCTCCACCACTACCCCGGGGAACGTCTTTGTTAGTCCCAGGAAAGAACTGGGTGGCGTAGTCCTCTCCCTGCATTCAGGAAATCAGAAACACATTTATCTCAAATCAAGGGGGAATGTCGGAAATAAGCAGCAATGCAGCTACGGGGTGAGACTGCTCCGGGGAGGGAACGGTAGAGAGGACCCGATGGTGCCAGCACCGTCAGTCACAGCGGCTGCCGGGAATCCTGGGTTGAGACGGACTCTGAAGCTCTCTCCGGGCTCTGCACGAACAGTCTGCAATCGACTCATGATGTCTGCCACGAGTGTGGGGCTGCAATCGACTCATGATGTCTGCCATGAGTGTGGGATGGGGTGGAGCAGCACACGTGCCACACGCGTCCAACTAGACGGGGACTGGGGGTTGGCGTGGAGACAGCTATTTTCACTGCTGAATCTTGACAGGGCAGGGGGCAGTAGTCACAGGTACCCTACCTCTGATTCAGTGCCCCAATGTGCACTGCAATGACATCACTGGCTCCCCATCACCAGGTGCCTCGAGTCCAGGCTGGGGGCTGGCTCGGGAGAGCACACTGGAACACCGGCCCTCGCTTTGGACGGCTGCTCCTTGGCCCCCCTCATGAGCACTCGGGGCTGCTCACCGGTTCCCTGAGTGACCTACGGAGGCTTTCTGGGTCCCCGCCACCTCATCTGGGAAAGGAGGTCCTGGGCTTTCATGAGACTTAAATGACATGGGACACGCTTAGATGTCACACTGTGTCTGGCTCTAAGAAGGTGCTCGATAAGTAGCTAAGAGTAGATGTTAGTCACTCTCATTCCCAGCTGTGGCCCCTGGGGCCAGTGAGTGTGCTCTGATAAGCCTCAGTTTCCCCACGTGTAACAGGAAGAAAGCAGTATTTGCTGCTCTCACTGAACTGATGGGAATGCAAAGGGGCCTTGCAGACCGCCAAGTCCATACTCAGATTGCCTCTGTTTCCCCTGACGACTTTTTGCGGTTCCAGGACCCCATCCGGGACACCCTGCTACATGTAGTCATCCTGCGGCCTTAGGCTCCTCTGGGCTGTGACAATTTTTAGGCTTTTCTTGTTCTTAACAGCCTGGACAATTTTGAGCAGTGCTGGTCACGTGTTTTACAAAATGCTCCTGAATGGGGACTGGTCTGATGTTTCTCTCAGGATTAGACAGGACCCGTGGGTTTGAGAGAAGAAGCGCCCAGAGGTACGGTGCCCTTCTGACACCATATCAGGGTGCCTGCCCTCATGTGACTTGTCACCATGGCTGGTGACCATGAAACCGTGACCCGCTAACTACGGTTGTCACTGTCTGGTTTCCCCCTCATATGGTCGCTCTCTGCCCCTCTGTCCCGTGCCTCTGGAAGGACACCGTCTGGACGGCCCCCACTGAAGCCATGAGGCGCCCCACCCCCTCCTTCTGGGCAGAGTGTCTGCAGACGCTTGTGACTCTACACACGGGAAACTTCTCTCTTCTCCCCTGGCCACACTATTTTTGTTATTTTTACTGTGAAAAAGATTCTTCCCATTGCCTTAAGGGAAGAAAACAGAGCTGAGGAGGACAGGCTGCACGAACACCCCAGCTTCAACAGAATCCCAACCCCGTTCCTTCACGTTTTGGGGAATGGCGAAAGGCTGGGGAGAAGTGAGAGGCCGGCTTTGAAGCCTGGGCGTCAGGGGAACTCACCATGTTATGCTTGAGGATTCTCTGGACCACGGGAGTGAACACTTCGATGACCACCATGGACCGGGGCCGCTCTCTGCAGTGCTGGGGAGACAGAAGGGCGTGGTCAGCACTGAGCCTGGCAGGTTTCAGCCGGAGCTGAACGGGCCCCTGGAAGTCCGGGCCTCGCCTGTGGCTCTGAGACCGTGGGGCGCCTGGGGGGCTCCGTTGGTGAAACATCTGCCCTCGGCTCAGGTCATGGTCCCAGGTCCCACATCAGGCTCCCTGCTCAGCAGGGACTCTGTCTCTCCCTCGCCTCTCTCCCAGTACATCCTCTCTCTCTAATTTAATCTCTAAAGATTAAATCAAATCTGTAAAAAAAAAAAAATGAATAAAGTGAGAGTTCATCAGCTGATACAGGCAGGCGCGCACTTGGACAGGTCCTGACACTTTGCAGCACTGAGATGCAGAGCACGTGGTCTAACAGAGAAGTCTCTGGAAAACTGGGTGCAGGAATGCCAGGAGTTCCGTGTCCGGACACCGGAATCTCGAAAGCCCTGTGGCTTTCCAGCTGTTGCTTTGATAGGCTGACAGCAGCCTGCAGGCCATCCAACGCAACTCACCGTACTTCACTTCATCAGCACGTTTTGTTTGTCAAGGCCTTCGGGTGGAACAGATAAGGCCCTACCAGGCCAACACATTTAGAACCTGCCCGGGCCTGAAGGCGCTGTTTCTAACCCCTGCGTGAGGACCCTGGACTTGGGAGAGTAGAAATCAGGGCTTTCCTGGGAAATCTAAGATCAATGAACTTTCCTCGATCTGAGTGTCCTGGTTTGGAGAACGGGCAGGCAAGGCTGCCCAGGCATGTGGAATGAGCTGGCCCAGGGTGGACCCGGTGGGGGCGGCTTCATTCCCCTCAAGCTCTCCTCTCTGGACAGGCCACCTGTGGGTAGGGTACGGAGGCTGGGACTCCGACTCATCCAGAGGGGAAACAGCCTGAAGGCTCACGGACCCCCTAGGCTCGGACCCCTCCCTCCAAAGGACGGGGCAGCCTTCTATTTCTATAATGAAATGCCAAAAAGAATGGTTTCTTCTACATCATGAGTTTTTAAACCGTGCTACCAGGAACCTCCAGGTATGACTGACTTTGAACAAAGGTCCACTGTTTTAGAACAAGAGTTTGAAAACCATGAAATCTGGGAGAAACCATACAGCTTGAGAGGAGAACAAGGAGCAGATGTGGATTAAATCGGACAAAATATTGAGAGAGGAGATAACCTGCTGGGACAGGTAAGGAAGGAGGACCCCAAGCATATGTGGGGACGTATGACCCCACTCCGTGTGGGGAATGACGCCCCCTTGTGCCAGGGGCCAAGAAGGCCCATATTTCAGTAGTCTATAGTCCCACCGAGGCCCCAGGGAGGAGGGGGCCTCCACTGAGCATGGAAGCCTGACGCTTTCACACGCACAGCTGCAGGCCCAGCTCGACGCCCAGGTGCTCGCCTGCTTGGCCTGGAAGGCACACACCGCCGCGTGCCCAGACGCGCACACCGAGAAGGCACCCGGGCGCTCTAGGCTGGCAGGCCGGGCCCGCCCTCTGCTCTGTGGGTTGCCAGAAATGGTCTCCTGATGGAGAGATGGGGCCAAAGGGGCTAACACGACCCTGTGTCCATAGTCTCAGAGCTCCCGCCCCCTGACAGACACAGAGAGAGCAGCTCTCTGAGTGGGGGATGGAGGCACTAAGGGCATCACAGTTCCCTTTCCTCCAGAAACCACAGGGCTCTCCAGGGGCCTGCTTCGCTAGGCCACATGCTCGTCTTGCTGGTAGATGGGAGTCCACACCGCCCACCAGGGACAGCATGTGACTGTGGAAGGAGCCGGCGAGGAAAGGAGCATGAGTCGGAGTGAGTCAGCAGGTGCGAGAGCAGAGAGCGCTGGGGTAGCAGCAAACCTAGGACCCGCGTCTCTCCAAGGACATCAAATCATTATATAAAAAAAAGAAAAAAAAAGAAAAAAAGAAAAAAAAGATCACACAGCAAAGAACAAAACAGGACTGCATGCTGGTTCAGCCCCCGGGCTGCTGAAGTGTGTTTTCAGAGTGAGGGACGGCTGGTCCCCAACGTGCCTTGGGCACGGTCCGTGTAAATCCCACTGCGAGCCTGGCTCTGGGCTCCCGGGAGCGGACGGGCTGCTCTGCGGCTCCTCCCAGCTAACCTGGCCTCCCTGGTCTGCTTTCCCTATCCAGGAAGAGCCCCACGGCTGTGCCCCACCGTGGGCCAGCCGGTGCTCAGACGAGCCTTGGCTAATAATAACCCAGCTCTGACGTCAGGAACCCAGAAAATCTGCTACAAATTTCTCCCAAGACAGCTACAAAGATATTCCAAGGAAAAGCCGGACACTCCTCCCTGACCCACTGGTTTGGATCCTGGGCCTCGCTTATCACCTGCCTGGCAGAGAGAGAGCTGTGTGTCTAAGAGCAGGCTGCCTGACCTGCCTTCTGGCTCGGTCTGGGGCCCTGACCCAGGTCAGGGAAGCCTGGGTTTTCAGCAAATTATGCAAAGCCAACCCCCAGCATGCCCACACGGAAGTGGGCTGCCTCCTGCAAACACAGCCCCATTTCGGTCAGGTCATACCTTGCAGAAGAATTCACAGAGATCTGGTGGTGGATGGTTGTTTTCCAGCAAAGGAGCAATCGCCTGAAAGACAACGAGCAAAGGTGAGCCGGAACCTCCAGAAAGGAGTCCTAGCTGGGGGCTCATGGCTGGCACAAGCTCCACGCTAACCTCCAGGAAAACGCACACCGATGTGAGTGCATGCGACCTCAGGGACTCCACAACCTGCTGCCGTCCAGCCACGTCCCCCTTGGAGCAACAGGGAAGGAGAGGATCCAGGTTCTAAGCCCAGGCCCTGGGGGCAGAGTCCTGGGTGCGAGTTCTAGCCCTGGCACTCAGGACAGCCTAACTGTTAGAACGAGTTATTTCCTCTCTCATAACACCCGAGTTCCCACCCAGAAAGCGGAGCAGAGAAGAGTCTGCAGAGGAGCGGGAGGGAGGGTGCCTGGCCTTGCCCTGTTACCATCTGGGGCCTGTTGCTCCTGTCCCATGCGGGATGTTTAGCAGTGACCTTGTTCTCAACCCAATGGACGCCAGCAGCAAGCCTCAGCCGGTGTGAGACCAAGAAGCCTCCTGACACGCTTATTTAACATTAAGGCAGGTGCCTTGAGTTCATGTCTCTCCAAGCCTTCTGAGGCTCACTGTACAGTTCTTACGGTTCCCCATGCCATTCCCGTACCAGGATCCGAATGATGTCTGATTCTTATTTTTCTTCCTCTTTCATACTTTGTTTGAATACTTTTGCTAAACTTCAAATTCAAATAAAATAGGTAAACAACTGAAATGTGTCCAGACATTGCCAAATGCCTCACAGGAGACGAAACTGCGCCCAACCGAGGACCCCTGGAAATAGGGGTCTGAAATAGGGCCAGCTCTCCGTGAATGTTAGTTACTGGATGGCTAGTACCTATGCGAAGTCCACTCATTTTCCTGTTTGCCACACTGCGTACAAGATTAACCAAGAGGAGACCCAGGACCCAGCACCAAGACCACCGGGCTGTGTTACCTTGTGTGAGCAACTCAACCTCTCTGGTCATTAGTCTTCTAGCTTATAAAATGGGGAGAACTAGAGTGACTGTCTTTGGGAGGACTTGAAAAGAGAAAACTGTAGAAGCTTTGGAGTCTCAGCCTCAAGATAAGCCCACTGCCACCATCACGGGGGGTAGGGACTGTCTTGGGCAGTACTGGGCACAGCGGCAAGGGGTGGTGATTCAGCCCGACTCCCAGGAGGGCTCTGTGAGGACATGCTCTCCCCATCACTGACTCCCAGGGCTCAGAGCCTGCCTGCTCAATTTCAGAGGGTCTCTGTGACCTGTTCCCTGCAGCGATGCCTTTGGATATGGCTAGGGACCTCTCAGCAAGGCCCTCCGCTGGGCTTGGGACCGTCAGGGAAAGGAAGCCTCACCGGGGGCCCAGAAGACACGACGTCACTTATGCGAATGTGCTTCTGTGGAGGAGGAAGCCAGTGACACTGAGGCTGTGGTCTGGAGCCCCTCCAAGCTGGGTGCCCAACAGTCCAGGGTCTTACCTGTCCAGGGCGGCAGCACCCAGCACGGTAGCCGCTGGTGCAGGCAACCCTTCCGATTTTAACGGATAGGAAATAAGTGAGATAAAATAAAAAATGTGGTTCCTCCACTGCACAAACCACATTTCCAGTGCTCAGGGGTCCCACGAAGCCAGCGGCCACTGTGCCAGGTGAAGCAGACAGAGAACACCTCCCACACCCAGCTCCGAGGAGGGGCCATGTGCAGGGCTGAGCCCCCTACTCGTGCCGGGCCCCTCTTCCTCTAGAATGAGTCACAGAATTAAGGAGTGGGAAGGACTGAAGTGCCCAGAGTGGGCGTCGGGCAGGGGCTCTGTGCTTCCACAGGATTAGCTCACTGGGGCCTCATGACAACTCAGTGAGGTCAAGTGGGAGTTACTCCCATTTGTACAGAAGAAGAGACAGAGGGTCAGGGAGGTTATAAGGCCTGCCCTGGTCAGACAGTTATGATCATTTTAAAGGTATGACTAATAAAAGGAGCTTATATTTCTGTGGGCTCTTTCTATAAGCCCGGTCCCCGTGGAGCATGTTTGGCGCGCTGGCTCACTGAGCCCTCCGAGGAGCCCTGTAAGAAAGGCACTGTTGTCACACACATTTCATAGATGAGGAGACTGAGTCTTCATATGCCAAGTTAGCTGAAAATGACTAAAAAGTTAACTAACAGTTAACCAGAAGTTAGCTGAATGGCCATCTGGTTAGATAAAAATATTCTAGAGCCAGTAGAAAGTATGTGGTGGGCCAGCGGTCCCCAGCCAGGGTTGACCTTGCTTCCAGGGGCTGTTGGAATGTCTGGAGACATATTTTTTTTCCATCCTCCCCTGGAGATATATATTTTTTTAAATATTTTATTTATTTATTTGACAGAGAGAGATCACAAGTAGGCAGAGAGGCAGACAGAGAGAGAGAGAGAGAGAGGAGAAAGCAGGCTCCCTGCCAAGCAGAGAGCCCGATGCGGGACTCGATCCCAGGACCCTGAGATCATGGCCTGAGCCGAAGGCAGAGGCCTATCAACCCACTGAGCCACCCAGGCGCCCCTGGAGATATATTTTTGATCACCACGATGGGGAAGGGCTACTGGCACCCAGCGGGTTGAGGCAGAGACAGTGCTCAACGTTCTACGATGGCCAGGACAGGCCCCCCAGAAGGAATGATTCATCCCCAAATGCCCAGGTAGTGAGACTGGAAACCGAGGGGCAGAGAGGCACGGAGAGACTTGAAAGCATCCCCCCACGACACGGTACACGAAAAAGTCAACATACAACAGCCCATCTAGGCTTGCATCATTAATGTTGAAAACAGAAAACAGAAAATCAACCGTACCCATGTGGGGTTGTCACCACCTGAAAACCGCCAGGGCAATTCTCTGAAGAGGACACTGGGATGGGGTGAAATCCTTTCCCTTTCTTTCCTTATTCTAATGAAATTATTTTCATAGAATACTCGCAAAAGCATTTTTAAAGAACATCTTAAAGGTATTTTCAATACAATAAAACTAATAAAGCTCTCCCATCAGTTGCCCAAGGACCCAGCTTGTGTGGGGTGGGCCCCGGGGCTGCACCAGCTCCAAATGTGATCTCACATTGAACTTCAGGGTGAAGGCCACCCTCTTCCCCAGCATGTAGATGGCGGCTGCGGTCTGGGCACTGGGGTCCAGGGACATGCTGGCTGTTACCAGCCAATAACCACCTATGGCACAGACAGATGCCCGACCCCAGACGGACCGAATCCAACCAACTCAAGAAAGTTTTTCTGAAAAATAAGCACGTTAAAAACATACGAAGCCCCGCTGGGAGAAGACTAATTGCTGAGAAGTCAAATCAGATAAGGTCATCTCTGGGCAGAGAGGAGGCTTCCCAGTGACGATAAGGGCACTGGTAACACAGAGCACCAAAGGGGAGGAGGTTGTACAGAGCAGGGCTGAGAGGCAGACCTCAGATCAAATTCTCTGTTCTCAGGCATGTCTGTTGAGTGCGCAAGCTCAGCCCACCCCAGTAAAGGGGTCAGGCTCACAGAATTCGCTGGAAGAAAGCAGCCTGGACTGCTCAGACCAAAATTCCTTTCCCAGGCTCATCCCCAGTCCAAAGCCCTTACCCTTCTTCCAGGGCTGAAGAGTACGGGGGTGGGGGACCCACAGTAGCGCCAGAAGGGAGAGGAAGACGCTAACTCCTTCCTGGCACCCATGTCCCCAGCTGCTTCTCCACCAGCCAGTCTCACTGCTCTGCCTTCCCCGTGCTGGGCCTTCTCCCTGGACTGCCTTGCCCCAGAGCACTCCTACCCCTCCTTTAAGATCCAGTTTGCTCACCTCCACCTGGAAGCCCTCTGTCATCCTCCTCCCAGCACCCTCACTGGCGGAGGATGCTAGGTGTCTGCCCTCTGTGCTCCCCTAACATTCCAAACAAATCTCAAGCCCTGACCGTGTTATTTCCTGATTAGCTGCCGACCTGCCCCGTTCTTCTAGCACACAGTGAACCTCTCAGTAGCAGCTCTAGGTCTGTGCAACAGAGACTAGTGTTTGGCACATACCTGTCCTCAAGTCAACAAGCGCTTGCTACATGAATTTATTAACTAATAGTATACCAGGGAAAGGTGGTGGCAGGGAGTGGGGGCGCCCAGGTTGACAACCCCCTGTTCTGGCGACAGAGGGCACGGCGTGGTCAGGGTGCGGCAAGGGGGAAAAAACCTTCCGTGTTTTTAGCAAATTCTCAGGGAGCATCTAGTACGTGCCAGACACTGGAAGTGGGGCTCCATGGAAGCTGCTGCCTTTACTCCCCATGACAACACCTCCTTTTGTACCCACCAGACCCAGCTGGGGTGAGAAGGGTGATTCTCCAGGCTGGGCTTGCCAGGGCCAAGTGGGTGGGCCCAAGAAACCTTCATTCAGCTCAGAGGGGAACAGAGTCTGGCATCTTGCCCTTGTTTCAAAGGCTGTAGCCGTAGGACTTCTGGGGCAGGTGAATGTCCTTTCTGGGCACATAAGACTTTGCTTCTCACTTCCATCTCCGGTTCTGCCTCCCTACTTCCCACATCCTTGAACTTTATACTCTAGCGATGCTGAAGCTTCCAGGATATCCCACGTTGTTTTACATCTTTATGCCTATTTTGTTTCCTCTCTCTGGAATGCCTTTACTCTGTTTTGCCATCTGGCAAACTCCTATTGATCCTTCAAAACCCAGTTCAGACATCACTGCCTCCAGGAAGCACCATGCCTTCTTTCCCAGGCGAGCTGATCACTCTCCTCTCTATACTACATGCCTCTGTTTTTACAGTGATATCATTTGTCTTCCTACAATAGAAGATAAACTCCGTGGGAGCAGGGCCTGTCTTCATTACCTACAGATTCAAATACATGCACAGTGCTTGGTACCCAGTAGGTGTAACCTCCTTTCTCTCCCATGAGATTCACATTTCAGAGCTTAAATCCCCTAGGAAGCTATCTGACTCCCAAGATGCTTTCATCATAGTCACGTCCCAGAAAACAGGACCTCTTTGTGTATCAGAGAGAATTAAATCCAGGTTCTATATGTGGATGAATCAGGAGGCATGTCCTGGGGCGAGAAAGAGAATGCTTACCTCTCAGCTAATAGGGTTATGCCTCTGAATAAATAAATCATATGCTCTCTGCCATCTCCTGCCTTCAACTCCACTCAGGAAGGAGGACGCAATGAAGATGCATTCGCTATAAACCTCAAAGACAGATAATTTTCTCTCCCCCTCCTCCGTCAACTGGGCCCCTGAAATGTGCAAAGGCAGAAGGCAGACAGTCCGGCTTGACGGGAAAGACAAGACCGAGCACGGTCGCCACGCTGGTGGATACACCAGCGCTTCGAGAAGTCACTCAGACCAGGGCAGGGACTGTGGCACTGGGAGGGGAACAGAGGGGCGAGGAATCTCAAGAGACTTACCACAATGATGTTCTCATGCTCCTGGGTAGTCAAGTTTGTGTTCTAAGGGATTGAGTGGAGAGTACCGAGGAAGACAAGACAAAACAAAACAAAACCACAATATTAATCAAACGGATGTTTGCATCTCAAAGGTCCAAACAGTCTAAAATGCTTAATTTCAGCTTCTCGGAGTGCAGGTGTTGCTTTTTCTTAATCAAGCAGATCAGAAAACCCTCCAAGACTCAGCCAGGAAGGGAGAAAAGTATGACTTTGCGGGGGGCGGTGGGCGGGGTGGGGTGTGACGACAACACTGGGATTCGAGTCTCAGTTTTACCCCTTGGGAGTTATGTGACCTTGGACCAGTCCCTCCTTGTTGGTGAGACTCAGTTTTTCCTTCCATAAATGGGCTCCTCCATTCAGATAGGGCTTAACCCCAAGCTCCCTGCCGGTCATAGGGTTCACGGAAAACACAGAAAGATATAGACTTTAGAATCTTGACTGCATGCCAGGCTGTCTTTCAGGCACAGCACATAGAGTATTCCAGTGATTCTCCAACTGGGTTCCACGGAAGAATGGTGTTCTGTGAGCCAAACATGTTTTAGCTAAATTCAAATTCTAGCAATTAGCTTGCAGAAATAATAGTAAGTTGAATGGATTAAATTTGTTTCATTTTTTTGGGCTTTTTTTCCTCCTCAATCTGGAATTTCCTCCCCCAGTGGGTACCTGTTACCACTCTCCTGTGAATACACAGCTGAGGAGAGGCCTGAACACATGAGAAATGAGAAATCATGGGAAAACCCAGAAACGGTCACTATCGTCTTCTCTGCTAGTTTCGTGCTGTGCTCTGCTTTGTCTGTGTGTCTCGGTGGGCACGGGCTCTCACTGGTCTCCATTCAGATCTCCTGACAGAGTCACGTCTATCCCCTCGTCACGTGCCGCCTCACTGGACAGTCACCTGGCCAGATGGTCAGTTCTTGGGTTCCAGGAAGAGCCCCACCCTGTTTGCTACCTGCCATCGGGCTTAAGGAGCATCAGGATATCTAACGAGTTTACAACCCGCTGAAGCAGGAGTGGGGCCGGGAGGCTGTGAACACGGCTCTGTCTGGCTGCCCGACTGGGGAGGACGGCCACGGAACCCAGGCCAGTGTCTGTGCTCCTCCTGTCCCCAGGTTCCCATGGAGACAGCCTGGCCCTCTAAGCCCACGTGCGCTTAGAATCCAGGAGCACGTGGAAGGGGAAAGGATGTCTCTTAGACTCCTAAGGCTTCTTCTTTTTGTGGACGTTGGTAGTGCTTAAGGAGCCCGTTTGTGGCTGATTATTAAACGTCAGTGATTTTCCTGATGGAAAGCTTTGGTCTTGCCTTACGAGCGATGACAAGCTCGCTAAGCCTCAGGCCGGGAGCACCCGCTTCTTCTCCGAAGTGCTTCTCCTACCCTCCCATCGCCAGGTGAGCTACCTGAGCCTCACGGGTCCAGCTGCGTGCCCGGCGCACAGGGAAGAGTGGGTGGAGTGGGGGTTTGACCCTCTCTGTCCTGATGCTAAAACCTGCATCTCCAACCACTGAGCCCCGGGGCTCGGCCCAAGCAAGGGGCGCTTCCGTTTCTCAGGCTGCGGCGGGCAGCTCTGCAGGACCCGGACGGGTCCTCACCGCACCTGTGCCCTTCCCACGAAGAGCCTGCGGCAAGCACAGATGCCAAGTCCTTTGTCCCCATCGCGGGCGGCAGCCTGTGCCACTCTGCAGGGACACTTCTCTCCACCAAGGCCATTTTCCGCCCTGGTGGGGAGAGCTCACTAACAACCAGGGCATCACAGAGGACATGGGAACCCTAAACTGAGCGGCCACTCCACAAAGGCCCAGGAGGCCAGGGAGGCAGCTGTGTTTGGCCAGTGGATGGACAGTCCTTTCTCAGAACCAAAAGCCCCCTCCTCCCCCTCCCTCGCTCCCTTCCTCTGGATCCTGCCCACTTTCTGGGTCTGGGGACCCCTGGAGCCTCCTCAAAGGAGACCCCAGGAACAACCTGAGTAAAGAGAACAGACAAATCATCTAGCCCCTACAGCCTAAATAGGAAAGGGCAAGGAGAGGGATTTGTTTGTTTTTCCACCCATCACCCTAGACCCTGCAGCTAAGAGTGCTTAAGGTCAAGATCACAGCCATCTCCCATGACAACAAGATTGTGATCATTTATCAAGTGCTCCCTGTGTATCAGGCACAGGGCCAGGCGCTTTGTCTGTATTAGAGCACTGTGAAATGGGTGCTCATCTTCACTGCAACTCGCAGATGAGAACAGTACTGAGAGACCTAGTAAACTGTCCAAGGCCAGTTAGTATCTGAAGAAACAGGTCCTTGTGCTTCTACAACACCTGTTCTCAACCACCAAGTCCCACACAGCTGGGCACCCCCCCACCAAACCCCGGGCTAGAAAGTCTACCAATTTATGCCACATCTGTGCAAAACAGTGTGAGCTTTCCTAAAAGGCAGACCTGGGCGTGGATCCCGGCCCACCACTGATGCAACAGACCCCTGGGCAAGTGACAGCTTCTCCAAGCCTCTGTTTACCCGTCTGTACATTTTCGGACTCACCTCGCAGGGTACCTGGAGATCAGCTCTAAATGCCAAAGCAGTGGTCACAGAGCATGTGTGTCACTCAGAGAGGCGCTAAACCCTCCTCAAGGGGTTGCTGCCTGGGCTGCAGTCCCAGCTCTGTCCCTTAGCAAATGGCAGCGCTTGTGTGTCACAGTGAGTGACACTGACTCATTGCCTGACACACAGTAGGTACACAGCAGATGCAACCTGCTTCTTTTTTTCTTTTCCCTTTAAATGCCTTTATCTTTCACTAGTGCTTGGGGATCCAATGATTTTTAAAACTTTGGCCTGAGAAGCGATGCAAAGGCCCAGGGGCACATGGTCTATGAAACATGTAAGATGGAAATAAATGCTTGCCAGTGGTTGGCAACTGTGTCCACCTGCCACCTTCCCCGTCGTCCTGACAGTGAGCCTGATCTAATGATGGTGTGGCGGTGGGGTGGGGACTGGTGGGCAGAAGGGGTGGACGGCTGGCCTTGCAGTGAGAGCGAGGGAGCCCTAAGGTGAAATTTCCAGCCCCACCGCCTGCTCAGCATGTTGCTCAGTGTCTCAGGGACTCAGTTTCCTCGTCTGTATAATGAAGACAGTAGGCCCAGCTCTCTAAGGCAGGTGTACTACCCGAGACATTGTGTGCATGGCCCATGACCCCTGCTGGCACATAGCAGGTGCTCACTGATGGTGAGCCTCCAGCCTGGCCTCGGGCTGGGAAGCCAGGATAGAATGTTGGGTATACAGCATCTGGCCTGGTCTCAAATTCCAGACCTTGACTGTGATTGATTTCAAAGGCTGAGTCTTTGCTCTGCTGTGAAATGAAGCTGTCTCACACCCGAGGGCATGGCCTCTGCTCCCTGTAGCTGTCTTTACCGCCCAACTTCTACTTCTTGCCCCACTTGCCTCTAGGGCAAGAGACCCTCTATTCAACAGACATGGAAGGCCTGGGCAGTTTCTAGGACTGAGCGGCCGCAATCAGCCTGGGCCCCCAGAGGAAGGGGTGGTTTTAGGTGGCAAGGAGCCGGTGCAGACTCAGAGGGGGCATCTAGCAGCTAGCTACCCAAGGAACTGGGCGTGCCAGGAGAGCAGGGGCCGTCCCAGGGGAGGAGGACAGAAGCATCACTCCGTTGGCCATGCAGAGTTTAAATCAGGAGTCATCAACGCCAGTGTCTCCGGGGGCCAGGCAGGCAAACAAACGAGGCAAGCCTTAGCATTTGGGAAGCGCTGAGAAGATGGCTGGGACAGAGTCAACAGCGTGCTTCCCAGCAGCCGTCACCTCCTCACAAACAGCGGGACTGACATCGATCGAGCCCCTTTGCTCCTGTCTGTCTCCCTGCGGGAACATGGGCTCCAGGAGGACAGGGGCTTGTCTTCATCCCCAAGCCCAGCACAGTGTCCAGCACGGCACAGGCCCTAGTGTGGGGCTGCTCGGCAAAGCACAGCCCAGTCAGCTGCGAGCCGCCGATGGATTCTCCGCTGCTGTGCAGGTGGTCGGGGTGCCGGGGGCAGAAGCCGTCGCTGCCTGGGCCCCTGGAGCCCATGCAGGCCAGGGAGGGGGAGGACAGAGACGGGCAGGGACGGCGGGCCCCAATGCCGAGGGGCAGGGAGGAAGCGCAGTCTGGAGGTCTGGGGTTGTCACCGCTGTTCTCCAGCTCAGGGATGAGCTGGGAAATTCTGAAATTCACTGCTACCATCATCACCACAAGCCCAGCATCAGGCCCATGACCAGTCCCCCCACACTGGGTGGTGGGGCATGGCAGGGCAGCAGCAACAGCCCCTTCACCCCTGCCTCGCCCCCGGGGTGGATCAGCTGCAGCACTGGGGACAAGCCTCCTCCTGGGCTCTCTCAGGCTGCTGGGGGACACCGCTCAGCTCCTTGGGCAATGGGGAGACAGCGCCAATGTGGGTCCAGTTCTGCCGCCGGGTACAGCACTGTGCTCAGCAGAGGGAAAGGAAAAGAACTTGGTTGTGTGTGTGTGTGTGTGTGTGTGTGTGTGTGTGTGTACATGTGCACGTGCGCAAAACCCAGCAGGAGGAACATCCTACCTCTGAGAGCAGTTTCGAGACGATTTCCAGCGGGGCTTGGTTGATGGAGTCATCCTGTAGGGGGGACGTGAGGGCCATGTCCACCAGAGTTCGGATCTCCTTCAACACAACTTCCCAACGGCTTGGGTTACTCAGGACTTTCTTGTATTTGTAAATCTTTTTCTGGTTGGGAGAGAGAAGGAGACACATACATGTTATTGACACGCTGATGGCGGAAGACGCCAGACGATCAAAGAAACAGACGCATCAGGACCTGTAAGCCCCGAAAACCGGCCGCTGTGGACCACTCCCTCCCCGTAAGGAACGGACTCCCAAAGAAAGGAATCATCCTGCCCAGAGTCACGGGCTGTGCCTGCAAAGAACCAGGCCTCCCGGCCACTAGCCGAGAAACCTTCACATTGTTCCCAACAACTTCAAAAAAGAACGAAGAGGTTTCTCTCAGATCACAGCTGCCAAACGTGCTCCCTAAGCACTGACGCACAGTCGGAGTGGGAGCCTTCAAGGGCCCACAGAGAACCTTCCTTGGGTTGGAGGCTTTTCTCATCCCCGTCCTATGAGGCTCCCCTGGAGAGCAGAGTCCAGTGAAGAAAAAGGACAGGCAGGCTTGGGGCCAGGAATTCAACTCTGGCCAGGTGGTGACCAGCCCCGAGGCCCCCAGGAAGCTTGAAGGCGGTCCTCGGTTTCTGCCCGGTGAGTAAGACGAGCGCTCTCACCTTTGTTCGGGGCCGCGTCCAGGGCTGGAAAGCACTGGGGCGAGGGCTGTGGTCCCCTGCGCTGTGAGGCAGAGTTCCGCCTCTCTGACATCATGGAAACAGCAGCCCTCGGAAGGTGGAGGTCCCAGCCAAGCTCCCTCCCGGCCCTCCGGCTGCCTGCCCCACAGCTGCCCTGGCTGGCTTGGGAGACTCCCACCGGCTGAACTCCTTCATTAAACGCTCTGCTCCCCAGGGGAACCCAAGTTTAGCGTCACTGTGCCAGCAGCCAGCTGGGGCGACAAGTCACGATCTTTGAGCCAGTCTCACTGAGGGAGTGGAGAGGGAGGAGGTCAGGGTCCCCCACCAGCCCCTGAGGCTGCCAGGGTCTCCGGGACCACCGAGTTTCCGAGTTTGGAGTCACAAAGTGGTCTTGGAACCCAGGGCCTTTGAGGAAGCATCTGGGGGAACCGTTCTTGTCAGCCTTAGTTAATTGCTGGGCGAGGCCTCACAGCGGAACACAAGAGAGACTCTGGAGTCAGGCCCGGTTCTTACTGTGAAGCCTATCACCTTATGAGCCTCAGTTTCCTCTTCTATAAACCAGGCAGCCTCTTTCAGTGTGTGACCTTCACAAATGCTGGAGCCGTGTGGCCACTCTCCGTACAGAGCCACGTTAGAAGGCAGAGGCCGAATAGAGACCCTGGCAACAAAGAAGGAACCCGGATTCTTAACCCGTCTCTTTGGAGAAACTTTACAAGGATGAGGCGGACACCCACAGCCACACAAGCAGGACCCCACTGTCCATCTCCTGTTGGTTCCCAAACTCCATGAGTTTCCACTCTCTCGCTCGCTAACCAGGCCCCATCACTACCAGTCATCCACATAGCTGACTCACGCCGAAGTCTGTTTCCCCTCACCAGCCCAGATCTTTTAAAATTTTTATTTATTTAAGAGAGTGAGCACCAGTTGGGGCGGGGGGGGGGGTGCAGAGGGGAAAGGAGGCTCCCCGTGGAGCAGGGAGCCCGATGCTACGCGGGGCTCAATCCCAGGGCCTGGGGATCATGTCCTGAGCTGAAAGCAGACACTTAACCGAATGAGTTACCACACGCCCCAAATCCTGATCTGTCTTACGGACATCAATGTCGCTTGTCCCTGCCATGCCACGTTCTTTCACCTGCCGGCCAGCCTGCCACGCCCCAGGACAGCCCCTTCCTTCTCCCTCTCAGTCTGGCTGTGCTCTGACAGTCACCACCCTCATCAAGAACTGGAACGAGACAAGTCCCCTTCCGAGGGGTAGCAGGGCAGAGGAGACAAGTGGGGGAAGTGGAGATAGCATCATTCTCTTCAGGCGGGGGAGCAGAAACGCCAGAAACATTGACTTGCCGACCATTTTAGATCCTCTAAGGACTGGAAGACACACACAGCAAGCTTTGTCAAGAGAGGGTGTTCCATGAACAGTGATTACATGGTCAGTGGGGGTGATCGTGACAATGAGGATGTGTTGAGCCCCATGAATTTCACGACAAGACGCACCCACTTCCCTGAGGCCGCCCTGGACCGGTGAGCAGCCCCAGTCCCCATCCCCGTCAGCCAGGAGCATGGCATGGCCCGCCTCCACGCTGCCCAGCCTATGCCAACAGACTGCCCAAAGTCTAACACCATGGGGACATTTCCCAAGGCGAGAACCGATCCTTCCCAGAAGATGCATCCTCCTTTGAGTCCTGGACACGGTGGTTTTGCTCCATACCCAGAGAATTGCTTTATTGTTAAATGACCGCGGAATAGCCATAGAAATGGGCCGTGTTTTAAGCCCCAAAGAAAACCACACGATTCGCACCCATGTCTCCCCACAGTAGATTCCAGAGTGGCATATGGTCTGGGCCGTGAAAGCCCTATCTACTAATCAGCTGCAAGTTATTTACCTTTGAAGGAATAATGACTTCATTCTTTTTGTGAAAATGATGCCTGCTCGTTGTAAGAAATCTGAACCACGCTGGAAAGCACAAAGGAGAGGGTAAGTGAAAAAAGACCTCAAAAATCCCACAACCTAGAAATAGCTACCATTAATCTTTGGTGAACACTGTTCCACCCAACCCTCACTGAAACTTTGCCAAATACAGTCAGCGTGTTGTGGGGTGGGGCACACACCCTCACACGGTGGGGAGGGCCGTGAGTGCTGTGGCCCTAAGCTCTCCACGCTCAAACATCCCCGAGACTCTGAGGCAGCAAGGTCCAGGCAAAAGGGCCCAGAGGGCGGCATCAGTCTCTGCGCTCACCGACACACCCCTCCTTACAGGGGAAGAACAACAGCTCTCTTGCAAGCACCCAAGCCCTTGCTTAACAGACCTCCCAGGACCAGTGGGTGCATTCAAAACCAGAAGGTCCCAGGGCTGTGACAAGGGCCAATGCACAATGAGCACATACTGTGCACCAGGCACCCCGCTGAGCACTTCTGAGCATCATCTCGTTCCAGCCTCACGGTAACCCCAGAGCTGGGGACCTGCCACGGGCTAAGAGTCCCCAAAACAGACCCTAAGACAAAAACCCATGTGTAAATGGTTTCTTCATTTACATGTAGGACACATCAGTGCAGGGTGGAGGAGGAGAGGAGAAGAGAAGGAGAGGAGAAGGCAGTTATTAACGGGGCAGGAGAGGAGAAGGGGATCATTAACGGGGCCCCACCAAGCATTATGACTGGGCCACCATGGAGCCAGCTGTGAATCCCATGGGGGACTCGAGGAGACCGTGAATCCCCCCCCCCCCCCGCCACCCCCAGGGAGTGAGGAAGCTGCAGCATTTACCCACCAACTCCCTGTACACGGCCGTACTTCCACTGCCCTGTGCCTAGGACAAAGCACTCCCGTAGCTGGAAAAGAACATGGCCCCAGGCAATGACATGTCGTCCCAGTGAGCCCAGTGGCTGAGGGCCTGTCTGTAACGTCTACTACCAGCTTCTAGTGTCCCGTTTACACATAGGACTCTCACGGCCAGAGAGGTGGCCTGACTTGCCCAAGGTCACACAGCGACAAAGGGACAATTCAGGAGTCAGACCGGCTCTGGTTCATTCCAGAGGCGTCTCTCTATCACCTCTGTCGGGGCTGATGCAGACAGTGGAGAGGAAAGGTAGACATGTCGAGAGGCATGGTGATGGAGGGGGTCAAGAATGCTGGGTGGCATGCGGTGAGGCCTGGGACAAGTCCACAGGCTTGGAGAGCTGGAGGCCAGGCACCCAGGGGTGGAGGAGCTGCGGGAAGCTCTAATAGGAGCAGCAGGTGGAGCGACCATGGCGATCACGGTGGCGGCAGGGAGGAGAGGCTGCTGGCTCCCACGAGAAGCTCTAAGGTCTGGGACAGGGCAGCCACAGGGCAGAGGGAGGCCTGCGCAGGACTGCCTTGGGTGACAGATTAGCAGGTTTCATCCCAAGAACTCTGATGAGCTCATCTGGTGTTGAATCACCACGGGGCTAGGATGGGGACGCCTCGGGAGCCTGGCCCTTGGCTTTGCAGGATCGTCCTGTCAGTGGGCCCCTTCCCCAGGAGGGGTGGGTGACCTCTTGCCATGTTCAGCGTGGACTCCATGGGCCACTGGATTCTTTCAGCAGGGGCATGAGGGGCTTAAAGCAGGGGTTGGCAAAGTGCGGCAGGATGCCAAGCCCAGACCCCTGCTTCGCTTCGTGCAAGGAAGCCAAGAATGTTCTTAGGGGTTGTGAAGCAGAACACCCCAAAGAGGGGCACCTGGGTGGCTCAGTCGTTAGGCATCTGCCTTCAGCTCAGGTCATGATCCCAGGGTCCCAGGATCAAGTCCTACATCGGGCTCCCTGCTCTGCAGGAAGCCTGCTTTCCCTCTCCCACTCCCCCTGCTTGTGTTCCCTCTCTCGCTATATCTCCCTCTGTCCAATCAATCAATCAATCAATCAACCTTTAATAAAGAAAAAGAACATGGGAGAGAAATCCAGTGTGGCCCGCAAAGCCCCAAATATTTGCTATCTGTCCTTTTAGAGAAAAAAGGCAAAGCCAATCTAGGAATGAGTGTGCAGAGAGAGCTGCCCAACATGGCGAGTGGCCAGGGAGACAGCGGTTCAAACCACGAGCAGACACCACTTCACACCCACCAGGCGGACTGTAACCAACGACCCCAAGTGTTGGCGAGGACCTGGAGGACTGGGACCTGTGCGCCCTGCCCATGGCCTCACACGGGAGCACGGCGCCACCGGAGAGCAGTCTGATAGCTACTTAAAGCACGAAGCATAGACTTATCACACGATCCAGCAGTCCTTTTCTTAGAAATCTGCCCAAGAGAAATAAAACACAGAGTCTACCCAGGCGCGAGGACACGAATGTCTGTGACATTGTTCATAAGAGCCTCAAACTGGAACCAGCCCCCACGTCCACCAGCTGGTGAACAGGTAAGCAAAACGTGGTCTATCCACACAGCGGACTGGTATTTGTAGTAAAAAGGATGCATCTACTCACA